TCTGTTAACTAACCCCTTATATCTAACCCAATTCAGGTTATCAAATAGCATATATAGACGCTGGGTTCGAATCCCATATTTGCCCTGGTTATGATCCATGGTTTGCTAGGGTCATATGTTTAAGTTTAGTGATTCGCGTCTACTCATACGCCTGTCTGTCATTAACCAGTGAGTGACAAACGTTTTACGCCGCGTTTAGAAATTCCCAGTAATATCAGGGCGGGTTGGACTCGTCTCCTTGCCCGGCCATCCGTGATATAATGACATCGTGTTATGATACCGGCGTAGCTGTCACTCGGACTGTGAGTGCGCTCAACATAAATACCACAATCACGTGACACTACTAAATGCTTGTAAAATCGATTATCATCCAATTACGGAAAATCGATCTGCATTTCTGCCGTACTATAAGCCGGAGAGGACAAGGCCAGACTTACAAAGGGGCACTGCCTTGAAGTGTTGTGGCATTGTGACACGTCAATCAATAGTCTGCCAGTTTGATACATATATTAAATAGTCCGTCCTAATGAAATACAGCTACGTCGCCGTGTTTGTAAGAACCGTTGCGACCCGCTGGGAGTTATTTTGTCTTCTTGTCACTTCATAGTTTGTGAGGGTTTAAAAATAATAAGGATCTGTGTAAAATTAACATTAAATAGTTTAGTATATACATGTATGTATGTCGTAGCTGTCAGTAAATCTGGTTTGTGTTTTTGTTGGCGAAAAATCCAGTTAGGAATGACAGTGAACGAGGCAGATATACACGCAGCAAACTCCATAGTGTGACGGGTTTATTTGTTTGTTATTTTATTTGACGCCGCAATATTCCGCCCATACGTGACGGTGGTAGTATGCAACTGACGCCATATTATAACAGGAATACGTTTCAAAGCGCCGTTAACCCTAACTAACTCTATAGTCTGGACCAGTCTTTTCCGTTGAGGAAATGGAAACCTATATACCTCAGGGGCGGTGGGGTAGCCTAAAGGTTATAGCGTTTGCTCGTCACGCCGAAGACCCGGGTTCGATTCCCCATATGAGTACAATGTGTGAAGCTCATTTCTGGTGTCTCCCGCCGTGATATTGCTTGAATATTGCTAACAGCGGCGTAAAACAAAACTCACTCACTCACTCACTCTATACCCCATGTCGCGGTATGGGAGAACAATATACGTCCACTACCTTCAGGGTCGTGTAAGACGTCGTTTACTACCCCTAGTAACAAATCGTGTTCCAAACATCCCCGGTTTCTTCTGATAACGCCACGACTGCATTCGTGGTCTAGTGGTAGAGCGTCCGTCCGGAGAGCGGAAGGTCCGGGGTTCGATCCCCGGCCGCGTCATACCAAAAGACGTTAAAAGATGGTACTTGTTGTTACCCTGTCTGGCGCTCGGCATTAAGGGGCTTAAACAAGGACTGGTCGGCTCGGAGTCAGTATACTGTGTCTGAGTGGGGTATTCATGTTAAACTGCGGCATTGTATCTCAGTGAGCTAGCACTATAAATCGGCATCAGTCCGGACTAGTACAAGCAGCCACACAAACGCTATGTCGCTATATAAGTGCAATAATCTTGGACGCGACGTTAAACCCAATTTCACCTCACCTCTGATAACGCCACAGAACAGTTGTGTTGCTCGTGACTTTCTCATAGAGTTTAATATGTCCGAATATGTTTGTAAGTTAGCAGGGTTTTTTTCTCAGTGAGCATTTATAGATACAGCTGGTCAAATCAGCCGCTATCGTTTGTAATCAATTAATGTAATATACACGATCTGTCTTCGACGTGACTATATGCTACCAACTTGTACACCTCAAAATTTCATACGAATTGCCATATATTTTCATCTTTTACTTGAAGCCTACACTGTCAACCATTTAGCGGACATTGCCCCATGATCCAAGCTGACGGTCCGTCTATACGCCCATAGGACGCTGTGCCGACTGTTTCCTTCACAGGGCATAATATTACATAGGTGAAAATTTATTACACCTATTGGCCTATAGATTAAGTAACATCTATCAACCTTTAAGGAGCGAAGCCTTAGCCACGCCTGGCTGCGCACAACACGCCTTCCACGACCCGCTCCAGTGCTGAGTGTTGGTACAGCGTTGAGAGGATTGTTGACCAAGCGGCTCATCCGTGAAATCGCTTAAAGAATACACTGAACGCTATGTATATTCAAGGAGTTGTGATTAGGGTGTATCACAATAACGCCCAGGGCTCTATCTTTCTATCACTCATTATCCATTGATTGGAAACATACAAGTGATCAGATAAGTATCTACATTGGTTGTAACCGGTATATAAGGCTTGACTAGGTGTACGTAAACATCTTTATACGGTGTTCCTGAGAAAGCCGTTATGATGGCTATTCAATATAAGAGTCACGTTTTCGATTCAAGATTGTTGTTTAGGTTATTGCATTCTTTTTTTAAAAACATAACCACGCTCCCATTGAATTGAAGCAATGTTACATTGTATGCTGAAAGGGGGAAATAACGGAACAGATTGTGAGTGAGTGAGTATGGTTTCTCACATTGTACCCATGTGGGGAATCGAACCCGAGTCTTCGGCGTGACGAGCGAACGCTTTAATCACTAGGCTACCCTTCAAGGAGTCATTCCGTCATCCGTACCACTTTGGCAATGGCAAGACACTTTGGCAATGAAGTAATTGACCAGGTTTTAAACTTTCACCCAGGTTTTATAAATGTGAACATTTTTCACAAACGAGTAAACAGCATCTGCCATCATTGCAATGGGTTTCCTTGCCTCCTCCATCAGTAATGATATGGATGGGTTCGTGAGGCGACACTGACAGAGACCATGATTGAAGTGTTTACGTCAGGATTCCTCCAGTATATGATGCTGCAGACAAGCAAGGCTCGGGCTGACCCTCCGACACACGGGGCAGTCACTCGCTCAGTCCCCGCGCTGCGCAGATTGGCCTGTGTTCGCGGCAGTGGTCAACACCCTGTACACTGATGGATGGCGTAGGCGAGGATGTATGTCGGTCACTGCGTGGGACGATGTTCATGATGCGGGACCAATCATAAGAACGGGGCACAGAACATTCATTAGATGATCGTTCATTGACTGCGTCATTGTCGTCAGTAGTAGTAGTAGTAGTAGTAGTAGTAGTAGTCGTCGTAGTAGCAGAGACCATATAATAGATTATATGGTCTCTGGTAGTAGTAGTTTGTTGTCTAACGCCGCACTCAGCAATATATGACGGCGGTCTGTAAAAAAATCGAGTCTGGACCAGACAATCCAGTGATTGACATCATCAGCATCAATCCACGCAATTGGGAAAACGATGACATGCATCAACCAAGTCTGCGAGCCTGTCCACCCGATCCCGTTATAGTCGCTTCTTACGACAAGCATAGACGCCTTTCATGTTTAGCATGGGTTGCTGAAGACCTATTCTAAATTATTCTAGTAGTAGTAGTAGTAGTAGTAGTAGTAAGAAGAAGAAGAAGAAGAAGAAGAAGCACCATCATCGTCATGTCAAAGGGATCATTGTATAATTATATTCAACCTAACAACTATAGATTCAACTATGACGTGTTGATTGTACACGAATAGCTACAGAGACAAGTATCGTGTACATCCGTAACCCTGATAAATATTGATTTAAACATTGATCACTAAATAATTGATCCCAATCCACTTGGATGTAACTGATCTGTGTTTACCTAACATGGTTACTATACATCCACGCGAGACACAACCGTGGTATTCAGTCCCCTGAAACAACCGAGACTCATCTCAGACTGTGTAATGTAACCCTCAAACGCTACGGTGAGAAAAGACAGCTCCGATTGCTACTTTGGACGTGGTTATACTAATAAAGCTATCAAACGATTGAACCAACACAAACTTTCCACTTAATAACATAGAAAACAAAAGCGGTGTGTGTTAAAACCGGGTACTTTCAATAAACAATAGCTGTGAATAAATAACAATATATGGCTATTGGAGTGGGCGTGTCGATGTTCCGACATGCGACAAATTTGAACTTCTGGTTTTCCATTCTGACACTGAAATAGTCTTTTGGATTTCTATAAACTGTCTTAATAGGTTTGGTTAAGTTGTCACATAATGTATAAATTACGCTGTGTTGCGTAAGACGGAAGACAATAATTGATAAATCGATCAGCTTTTGAAATTATGTCATTGTCAAAGGATTGCGTACTTAATATATCTAATTATATTTTCGGAAAATCGCTTTCTTGTCTTCCGTAATGAGAGTATATATAACCATGGATAAAAAAGGATAGTGTTTTAGAATGTTTTGTCTTGTCCAAGCTACGGCCTGGGTCACGTGTTGCTAAATCATTACGAGTGTGAGTATAACTTGGCACAGTGTTAATTTGGGTAGAGTGATTAAGATGGTTCAAGAATTAATTTAAGGTTTTAAGTTAAATTGGCTCGGATATGAATTGATTGACTTATTAGAAAATACATTCTGGAACCAACCAAATTTATTCAGACATTATTTAACCGATAAACACAACTGAAAATAGAAACGAGAATGTCTGTTCCATAGGCTTAGACGCAGTTGTCTCCCTTGTGTCGCCGCCTGACAGCTGTCAACCGCTTACTGAAGTTTGAAAGATGTCACGAGAAATATTAAATATACTATCATTGGAAGTTAGAAATGTACATCTAAACTAATGAATGTATTTGCAATAAGAAAACGCATACTCTACGTTTGACATTTCAACACCACGAGCAAGCGAGTTGGATCTAAAAATAGCTAAATCATCTGTGAGCCTTCTTCACTACTCTGAGTCCGCGGAGAAAAAGTAGTTCTTTTAAAATATCTAATGATTGCCGTTAGAAATAATGTTCGCTCACGTGGATCATACTTGTAACATTAAACTTGTGAACATATATTCAAATATGTTTACAAAATAAGAAATCATGTGAGAATTTGTAAAACAGCTGGAATTAGGCGTATGAATATGCTATGTGAGTAGTCCTACTGTGGTAGTACGTAACAGCAGCTAATGTGCCTAGACTGCAGTTTGACGTCTGCCGCCGGTTGAGAGTGTGTGTGTTTACAGGCGGTTGTCAGTGAGTAGGATTGTCATATTCAAACTGTCTCTTCTTCTTGCAGGAATACCAAACTACTATTGAACTGACAAGACCTGGTATGGCAAACATGTGTTCCAATCGCTTCCAAGTTTTGTGTCATGAACAAGTTATTCGACTTCACGAGGTTATGGAAGATGTGGTTCCTATTCACGGTCGCGGAAATTTCCCTACTCTGGAATTGAAATTGAAAGATTTGGTTGTAATTGTCCGTGATAAATTGAAAAGTGAAGGGGTCATAATACGTGACATACGTTTGAATGGTGGTGCTGCCAGTTACATCCTTGGAACGGACGAGATTCAATCGTACAACGACTTGGATCTGATTTTCGGAGTGGACCTGTCAAACCACAACGAGTTGCAGAAAATCAAGAACTGTGTGCTTGGCTGCCTGCTGGATTTCCTCCCAGATGGTGTAAGTAAAGAAAAAATGAGTAGCTGCAGCTTAAAGGAAGCCTATGTGCAGAAGATGGTGAAAGTGTGTAATGAACACGGGGACCGGTGGAGTTTAATTTCGCTGTCAAACAACAAGGGGAAAAACGTGGAACTCAAATTCGTGGATAAGATGAAACGTCAGTTCGAGTTCAGCGTTGATTCTTTTCAGATCATTTTGGAGAGCTTGTTGACCTTCTATGATGTCTCTGCGACACCAATGAGTGAGCACTTCTACCCAACTGTTGTGGCAGAAAGTCTGTATGGAGATTTCTGTGAGGCATGGTTTCACTTGACAAAGAAACAAATAGCTACACGAAACCCAGAGGAAATTCGTGGTGGTGGTTTGTTGAAATACTGCAATTTGTTAGTGCGGGGATTCAACCCTGCTGAGGATGTGGATATAAGGACCATGGAAAGGTACATGTGCTCAAGATTCTTCATTGATTTCAGTGGTATTAACCAGCAGAGACAAAAGCTTGAAGCTTACCTTACAAATCATTTCAGTGAGGATGAAGAGTACAAGTATGAATATCTGATGACATTGTATCGTGTGGTGGATGAGAGTACCATCTGTCTTATGGGTCATGAAAGGAGACAGACACTCAATCTGATCCATCAACTTGCCTGTCAAGTTTACGTGGAACAAGAACAGAAAAGTTCACAGAAATGTATTGAACTCCAACAGTTGGACCAGCTGAACAATCTTGTGATCGATCAGGTGTTCTATGGCCCATTCAGTGCACCTACCACAACTCCAGGCAGCCAGTATTACAACTACACCTATTCCCCTTCATCTGCCTACCAGATTGGGACCAATACATGTCCCTACTGTCCCCCTTATTTGCAGTGTTCATAGTCAGAACACATCATGATCTCGGCTTCAAATGGTGAGAGGCTACCATCCTTTTTGACAATATTCCAATTTTCTGTGATCATATTTTTCCAGTTCATTTCAGGGCAATATGCATTGGTTGGGGGTTACTTATTTTGTTTCCAACATTTGCTCCGTGTGAATGGATATATCTTTCTTTCAATTGGATGAAACTGTGTCATTTTCTTTCATATCAGTGGCAGCGTTTGAAGCATCACGTCTTCATACTTTGGACCCAGGATGTGATAATAAAAGTGGCTTGAGTTATGAACTGGGAAATAGACCAGCATTAGCCTTACATGAGGAACATATTTTTGCAACAGACTGGATGTGTGCAAGTGGACTGAAAGTTCTCTTATTGTTCCATGTACAAAATCATTTGTTCTCAAATCAGAATATCTATTCTATAAATATGTTATTACTTTGTTGCTTTATCTAGCCTAGTCTTCTTCAGATTGCACTCTATTTTTTTAAACAAGTGCTCAATATTTGAGATCAAAACTAGATACATCTCATATTTTGTATCAATATGAATTTAGACTATTAACTTGCAGCCTACAGGTTATTTAGTCATAATACAGTGTGTATATATATATAATACGTTAATCAAAAAAATCTGTGATGCCTATGTCTTACTTCGACATAATTGTTAGTGCTCCCTTCATCCTGTAACTGAACTATATTTAACCTGCAAAGCTACATGAAGTAAAAGACCAAAACATATTACAGCTTTGCTTGTCCGCTGACAACTGAACTAAATATTTTCCTGTAGTTTCATTGCCAAACTTCGGTCAATTTTATGAGAAATGAAAATGTCTGACTTGTTATGCTCTAGTCTTTCATACATTTTTTTCTCTAATAGCGATGTCGTCATTGATTTGTTAGCAGATTATATCTGTTACATGGGATCACTAATGTAAGGGAGTGATTGTTTTATAAATGTTTGTTGTAGATTATGAAGACAATATTTTCTTTACTGTCTCACAAGACTAGTTGTATAAAGGATGAAATGTCACTGAATCTCAACACTATACCTCAGCAAAGTCATTGAATAGACCTATCCTGTAGAGAAATACTAACGAATATACTTCATTCTATGTATTTTGAAGAAATGCAGTTCTGTTGAATTGAGAAATTTGAAATTGTTAATTTGTTTACCATTTCAGTTTAGATGTTGTGTCAAAATGGTGAGTGCAATAACAGTTAATTGTTGAAATTTATAGTTCACAAGTTATAATTTGTTAGCTGTTCAGTGTATCAAGAAGTACTTATTCAAATTAAGTGTGTGAACCCAGGAAAGGACTTTGGTGCAAAGGTTTGGACTAACAATGCTACACAAGTTGATAACTAGTAGGAGTCTTGACCCACTTAAAATGCTCCAGTTCAGTGTAATCATCATATTCTTGTTGGGGATAATATTATGAAAAATGTATAGTGATGTTATTTGTGATAAGTCATCTTATGCACCATAGTATTCTTCATTATTGTAGCAGGGAGTTAGATGTCTCTTTGAACCCAGTAATAGGGTAATTATCATTTGTTAAGAGTGAGCATATTGGAAAGAACTATCGTCAAATAACTTTACATGCATAAGTTATGTTAAGAATCTGTTACAATTTATTATGTGTCAAAAATATTTCCAGTTATATAATAAGATTATTTTATATATAGATATTAGATGAGGTTATGGCTTCCAGTGTTCAAATAAAATATGAAAGTCGGGAGTCCTTGTCAAAACCTTAGTGTTAAAAGTTTTAAAAAATTAAGAGGTCCATAGGTTCAAATACCATTGAAGAAGACACCAAGGGCCCCAGGACCTTTTACGTTTTGAATGCTAGCTACAACAAATGACTAGAGGACAAATTGAAAGACAAGATTAGTTTATATCTGTATTTGACGGACCAGCATTGATAAGATTAACTTTCTATGGGTCTTTACTGTGTGCTGAAGATGAATCATGAGCTGATAAGTGTCTTATATTGAATATATGGCAGACACTGTTAAATAGTTTCTAAAGTAAACGATAAGGTAAAAGTTAGGTCAACAGCTATCACATTACTCCAGATTGCAAACAGGTCATGCAACCTACATCTGCCGAGTACATACATATTTAGGTACGCATACTCTCTCAGCATGCATGCAGGCATATGTCAGGAGTTCAGTGCATTGTGTTATCTTCCTCCTGTCATTCATTATCCTAGCCAGCTTATTCTCTTGAGTTATGTTAGTATATGTCTCGCAGATGTGCAGTGCTGGAACCCAGTTTGGTTATGATAAACTTAAGCGCCTTTAATCCGGTCTCATGTTATTCACGTTCATCCAGAGCCTTTATATTATTATTTATACATGAGTGACATCAGTATGTTCCTGTGAAAATTTGATTAATATAGATGTATTGAAATTAGGTTAAGTACCATTTATGTTGTTTTCCATCACAGTTTCAAATTTGATTAAGTGGAGAAATGAATTTTTTTCAGTTAATTAAAAGAAACTTTCCCCTTGTGCAATAGTTTTGACGAACAGTCTCTGAAATGTTTTAAGAATCTTTCGTAACTCATAAGATAGCTTTTAACAAGGGGTAGATTCCAACCAAGTTGTTTATCCTATATTGGCACATATTGAAGGTTCTGGACTTGTTTAATAATATTAATTGGTCCTTTTAGATTGTTGGAGTATGTCAAAGACTTATGGGGCCCAAAATTTTGAGTTTTCTTTTTAAATATTGACGTGAATAACGATAAGATTGTACAGTAAAGAAACACGTCTATTCTTCAGTATAGGAGACATGTAACCTATTATGTGCTTGTGCTCACATAACTGTGTACCACAAACAAGCTGTGAGTCTTCTATGCCTCCTCGCTTGTAGGTCCTTGTGTAGAGTATGTACACAGTTGGGAAATTGATCCTGTTAATGGTTGACCTACATTTGCATATAACATGAGATATGTCTCTCACATGTGTTAGGGCAAAAGTGGACCAAGGACTGAACTGCTAATGCTTAAAATTGGTTTTGAAAACTATTGCAAATTAATAGACGTATCAGTAAGGGAGCTTGCTATTTAGTGTTATAAATATGGTTCAGTCCTTTGAACGTATCTTCAGGTTACAAACTTGTCTGAAAAGTTTTAATTGAAAAAGAACCCATAAATTCTGTATTTTTGAGAAGATTAAGATTAAAATAACGTCAAACCCATTGGTGTTCATGCATATTGCAAGGGTTAAATGTGAATGACTAATGTTAATGTGAGAAGTTTTTATTTACTTACCAGTCTGTGGGAAAGATCTTATTGTATTATCAGTATGGTTGTTGAAAGGAATTATTTTGCACCTACTTTTCTGAAACCCCTTTATGGTAAAATTTCTTTCAATCTAGTGAGCTTTACAACTTATGGCCTGTAATAGAATCTATGACAATTATACCAGTTCAACATGTTCAGACAACTAGACAGTATTGGTTCAGTAGTGGTATCAGTACTATTATTGTGATTTGCACTTTAATGTAACTTTAAAGAGTAACATCTCCAAGTCATAATGAATTACTCCCTGCAAATTATGCGAGCTACATTTGTTCTGGGTTAGACAACACTTTTCTGTTAATCCTGTTCGGTTTCTGCCCCTTTCCTTGTCATTGCTAGGCATACTTATCATAGTTTTCAAGTTTCATGGTTCTGCTAATATACAAAGACCATGACAATGACATGAAATGTGATGCACAGCATGAACAGATCTGAATGTTGCCTCATCCATGGCTTAATGTTTCCACCATTATTATGAAATTGTCATGACTGTACTTCGCACAAGTCTTTTAGAGACGAGACAAGACAACTACCCTTGCAATGAGATAATAGATGATCAGTTGTTAGGATGTTGCTAATTTCAAGTGAACATGTGTTTACCTTGCATGTAAGTTGATCTGTATAATGGTAAAGGAATTAGCAAACAGGCTGATAAGTACACGTTTGAAAAAGTGTGTGAGGACATTTTGACGAAGGCCACATTCAGTCAAAATTTTCTGGTCTCACACCTGGTTGATGAATTAATGAAAATGTGATTGGAATTTTTGTGTGTTTCAATACCATGATTACCCATTGTGTTTTTGTTATTCAGTATATGGGGAATGAAATTATTTGAGATGAACATGACAGAATGCCAAATCACCTTCTTGGTTATTTGACCTTTTTGGATAAGTAACTCTTTATTTTGATTTTTCCAAAACATGAAGTTGTAGGTAAGCTTTCATTTTATGCCCAAATTTGTTAAACCTTCTGACAATATTAACAGCTTCTATTGCTGTGTAATTATTCTGAGTTATTGTTTAAAGTTTGTTCTAGTTCTGAGAATCAGTTGACATTCTGGTTTTGCTTCTACCGTCACCATGTGACAGATCAATTGTATAGATACTAGAAACGCATGAAAAGTAATCATTATGGTCATTTCATTACTTGAAGGGGACCCAGTTTATTCTTTTGAATTATTCATTTGTCATTTCATTAATGTTGCAAATGAAATATATTTTTGTGATCAAAAGAGCTTATGCCAAAGTATTTTGTCTTGGCAGTGAAAGTAAAATGCAGCGGCTATAACTGGTGCAGGCGTGCACCTACAACATGAACTGTCAGTTGTCTGCAGTGATAAGCAAGGTGCAGTTTCATTGTTTATTCTATTGTGTCATACCTACAGTTGAAATATATTACTCTGTATATTTCAAAGAAATTCCAGAATAAAATATTTTGATCCAATTGCTTGTATTTGTTTCTTTTATTTAAGTACACTATAGTGATACACCTACTTTGTTGTTTTACAATGTATCATGATGTATGTCATAATACAATACCGTGGTCATCTTCCCGAGGCAAGAGAGTTAACTGACTATAAAAGTCCAGTTTCCACCCTTGCCGAACTAGGCTGGTATTACTGGGCTCGATTGTAGCGCCACCAGTGGCTATTACCAGCTATGTCCCTTCTAAGCCTCTCCTATGGACCAATCAGATTCCACCACTCGTATCACTTGCGTTTGCTTCACACAAAATGGTGGCGCCCAGTCAGCATGGTCAGGACGATCTGATCGATAATCAAGATCTTTATTGTGATAATACGGGTCTTACATTGAAAGATTTGGAAAATATCTGCTGACAACGAGTTGGTGGTGCACATGCTTTGCAAATCCTGCAATCGGCCGAAATCTGCACAACCGGATTTCGATTTTGGTGTGCGATTTTGATTGGACTATGCATAGACTCGTTAGTCCAGCCAAAATGTAACTCCATAATACGAGCCTAGTTCGGCAAGGGTGGAAACTGGACTTTTATAGTCAGTTAACTCTCTTGCCTGGGGAAGATGTACCGCGGTACATGAAATTATTTATGTTAAGGAGCCATTGAAGATCATCAAGCAGCTGTTGCTTTTTGAGAAATCATGAATATCATCCGAGAATATTACTAGTTTCATTGTTTTATGACATATCCTTATGTGCATAATGTTTTTTGATCAGTGCATGACTTCACAATTTTCAGAATTGTGATGCATCAGTGAATGGTTGAGGCTGAGTTAAGCCCATACACTGTATTCAGTCTTTGATATAAAAGCATGAAAGTCCGGCCGTAATACAGATGTAAATTTGTCCTGATTAAGGAATCTTGATTCTTTGGTCTATCAACCAATATCTTGACTTTGGACAGATGTTGTGTTTCGGTAAGAAGAAATCTAACAGGATATCATTTACATGATGACTTACTTCGAATGGCCCCTTTTAGAGATCTCAGGGACCGATACTGTTAAAAAGAAGCCGAGACTATCGGACAACTGTCAGAACTGCAACCAGTTTGGCACAAACACAACATCCGGAACACACACAGGAACCCTGTGGGGATTCCAGGGGTGATGAGGCCCAGGACCTCATACTTGTGGTAAGAGCCCATCTATGAGGAATGATAGGTCAGGCTCTTCATGGCTGATTGTATGTCATTGTACCCTGACAGCAGGATCATTGCTCAAGCTTTCAGTCACTGGTACTCCATTATTTACAAGATGCTGTAATATGGCTTGAATATTGCTGATTTGCATTATAAATAGCTCAAACTTTGATACTTGTTATTGCTGCAGGTTTCAAATGAAATAATTTCTTTAAAGATCTACAACATGAATTGGTTAGTAAATAATACTAAATATTGGTATTATAAAATACATTGTGACATCGTACATCAGCACACTCCCACATTGTATTTATCATCTGAAACTGGCTTCTGAAGGAGATACCGTTTGGGTGAGGTCAAGTAATATCTCCTGGAGATATCCCTACAATGGACTTCCACCACTATGAAGTGATTGCAGATCATTGTGATGTCATCAGTTACAATGAGGTCAAAATCAAATGATGTTACTAATCTCTGCCGCTGGAGCCAATTATCAGAACTTTGTACTGAAGACACTGGTTATTACTGTTAACAAACAGAAAAAGGTGATTTGGGGATGATAAATAGAATCTCACCTGATTTTGTGTTGATACCTAATATATCAACACTCTTTAACATTTATAACTTGTGTTGATGTATTTGATAAAGACACTCATGTGCGATATCTATGTATGCAATACATGTTCAGATAAACTTACAGAACACTTAACATTTATTCCCAGTTGCCACTGAGGCAACAGAATATATTTTCTCTACCACCATTAGGCCAACGTCCCCACCTGTTTAATGGATGTTCTGGGCAAAGACACAAGAAGTGAAACATCAGAGGTGGTCATGGTTGACTGGGAATAAATTACAATCACCAGATTCAGTTTAAGGCCAGAACAATTTAATTTTAGGTTTTACAGACTATTCCAACCTACATTTGGAAAAAGCAAAAAGTAATTTTGTAATATGTTTAAGTGAATACAAGCTAATTTGTAATGTTGATTTTTTGCTTTTATTTCAAGTGATACATGCATTCAATTAACCTTGTAATAGTCCAACACTTTTCTTATAGCTGCATCTTGACATGCTGGCATGATGCAAGCCAAGAAAAACTGCCTGTGTTAAGTAAAATTTCTTTTTGACTAGTAATTTCAATTGTTGACTATATCAACATTCATGTACGGAAGCCTTTTGGGGCCATTTGTTTTTTTCGGTTTTTTATATTGAAATTTCAAGATACTAACTTGAAATTTATAGAAGTTATGTTTAAGTTTTAAGATATACATACTAAGTTGAAATTTCAAGATAATCATCTTGAAATTTCAAGATAATAAGTTGAAATTTAAAGGTGACAACTTGAAATTTCACCTTAGTATCTTGAAATTTCAACTTAGGATCTTCAAATTTCAACTTAGTATCTTGAAATTTCAACTCAGTATAATGCAATTTCAACTTAGTATCTTGAAATTTCAACTAAGTATCTTGAAATTTCAATAAAAAAAACAGAAAAATAAATGGCCCAAAAAGGCTTCCGTACTCATGCCTACTACAATCATCAAGAGAAAAAACATGTTCAAACAAACAAACAAACAAACAAACAAACTCTGAAGTGTTACTAGCCTTAGCATAAAAAAATATACCACCATTTATTTATGCTTGATTTAATATTTAATCTGTTAATAGAAAATTAAGATTTTAACATTTGTCATACTCAATCTGAAAACCATGGACAACAATATTTAAGATGGCCAGCTCCAATCAATGCTTAGTTTGATATGCTCGCTGACTTCTCGTAAACTAAAAACTCTGTCCCTTGTGAAGTAATCAGAGATATGGTTTATAGTAATAGCACTTATCAGAAACATAATGATTCTGATTCAACATATCAACCCAACTCATCATTTGAATTCTTTAACTGGAGGTCCTTTCGAGGAAACAGTGTGTTTTCACATGTAAACTAGAGGCTTGTGTGGGTGCGAACAGAATGTCGTTAGGACCAGCTATGACATTCTGGTAACAGCTGTCATCCCTGTTGCAGTCAAGCTGGGAGGTGAGCATATAGGACACTATTGCAGTCAGTATCTTGGTATAGAATCAGCTGCACACAGCATGATCATTGGTTTCAAAACAGGAAATAAAGTAATTATATGAACAATATATCGAAACTGTGTACATAGATAGCCAATGACCATGAAAAATTAATAAAGTTATTGTTTTCTTAAAAATCTTATATCTGAAATGTGCAATTAAACAAAAATTAATTTGAATATGTGAATATTCATCATCTTGACATTACTCTCCAAGCAACTAACTCTAATTCCATTTAAAGATCTAAAGACCTCAAATGGAACACTATGTCCATATGCTATACATATGAGTACAGTGATCTACAGCATTAGAAATTGGTACTAGTCCCATAGTCCTTGCCAAACTGCCCAATAGTTAAGGTATCATAAGGACCAGTGACCCGTGAAGATCCGGGGTAGGATAGGTCTTCAGCAACCCATGCTCCCCATAAAAGGCGACTGTGCTTGTTAAAACAGGATCTGGTGGTCAGACTCACTGACTTGGTTAATGCATGTCATTGTACCCCAGTTGCCTGGATCAATGCTCATGCTATCGATCACTGGATTGTCTGGTCCAGACTCAATTATTTACAGACCGCCGTCATATAACTGGAATATTGCTGAGTGTGGCGTTAAACAACAAACAAACATACAAACAAACAAGGACTAGTAGAAATTTGCCATTTTTTAGTGTTTTGCTATATGTTATCATCATAAGCACTAGTGGACTAAAGACCGCCTCCATGGTCTAGTGGGAGAGCGTCTGCCCGGAGAGCGGAAGGTTCCGGGTTCGATCCCTGGCCGCGTCATTCCAAAAGACGTTAAAAGATAGTACTTGTTGTTACCCTGTCTGGCGCTCGGCATTAAGGGGCTAAAACAAGGACTGGTTGGCTCGGAGTCAGTATACTGTGTCCGAGTGGGGTATTTATGTGAAACTGCGGCATGGTATCTCAGTGGGCTAGCACTATAAATCGGCATCAGTCCGAACTAGTACAAGCAGCCACACACACACACACACACACACACACACACACACACACACAAGTGCAATAATCTTGGACGCGACGTTAAACCCAATTTCACCTCACCTCACTAGTGGACTAAAAATGTTAGTTTCCACCTGCGATCTATCCTGCTGTGTTGATTAGTGTCCAATTCAGGTCAGTAGAAAAGATCATCAGTGATTTAGGAGAGATTTTGATCTCTATACTGTCTAAATGTCTTTGGCAGTAGGTGGGTGCTCTGTTTACGAGATTCCCAGTTGGTTTCAGTGTAAACCGCCCACAGTCCATCCGATAAGCTCAGAAAGGAAGGTATCACTTTTGCCCCAAGCGATATTTCAGATAGCTAAATCGAGAATGATTTCTCTTGATGTTGCCAACAGTTAGGGTGAATGATTTATTAAGATTCAGTTTTATTGTTTTCTTTGCCTAGTGTAGTGGTATGTAGTGTTTGAAATTATGATTGAAGTCAAAGGGTTATTCTCACGTCTCTCAGTAACAGCATACAGATTTAAGGAGACCTTGTTTAATATACGAAAACTGAAAATCCTAGGGACACTCTTAATAAAACATACTTTAGGTCTTCTGGTTTGCACCCTTTAACTTACACACTAACAATATTGTGAAATGAATTGGAGTGTTTGCCACAATCTGATTGGTTGAAAGCATTGTGAAATTTGAGTGAATCCTGGAAATTTTTCAGATGTATGAATACTTTCCGCAATCCCCAAATTGGAAAAATGTGCCATTGACCTTTGTGAAATAGATACCA